AATGATTCTAAATATTCCACTTTCATGGTATATTTTTTGACATTGATATTGATAGATATATTCGAAATGGTGTATTTAAGTGTTTTACACTCACAAAAAAGAAACCTATCATTCTATAGGTATTTGAAGAACTTGTAGCATTCTGCCACAATTTAATTCTTCGTATTGTTAGCCGACACTAGGCAGCTGATACATAATTGAATTGAATGAAATTGTTGCGGAATGCTACAAGTTCTTCAAATACCTATAGAATGATAGGTTTCTTTTTTGTGAATATAAAACACTTAAATACACCATTTCAATTTTTGATACCTCACTACTATAAAGGCTTGGTTTGGTCTGAACTTTCATTGGTGGTAGTGTCCAGAGTCACTGATGAGGAGTGGAATTCTCCGAAACTAGTTTGGCTCACAGACACACACCCCAATGAAAGACCATTCCAAGCTTTTACTTGTTGTTAAACAAATGTTTAAACAACTCTATTCAAGTTTGTGATAGTATACATGGTTCAATCTTGTAGAAACATTAGAGGAGGAAATAAAGTATTTTTGTCACCTGAATGCTGAATTCTTTTCACCAGATAAGTTAAAAGGTCCCATTGATGAAAGAACAATGCTGTAACATTATATATACTTACTTAAAAAGAATGAAAATATGCTATTTATTTTAATTTAGTTCTTAACTGTTTGGTTTTATAAGTTTAATATAAATCTATTTTAGTAAACTTGGCAACTGGATTGAAAAATTGGAAAATATATAAAAGGAAACCTAGCTTTTGGTTCAGCAGGAAAGTTATCACATATGTATGTTACTTCAACTGACTCATCTTAATATGAATTTTTATACAGTGACATGTTTTATTGATACAGAAGGCATGAAAAGTGGAAGGGTTCAAGGTACAATATAAATTGTATTAGATGTCTGACAGTTATGTTTTTGATTAATATAAATATATGCTCTTATCAGATGAACAACTTGTGTACTATCTATGTATTTTACCTGTTGGCTAGATTAAAATATACAAGAATTTGAACCTTTTTCTTTTCTTTTTTAAAGTAAATTTTGAGTAAAAATGAGAAGAGATTAACTTATTGCCTTTGCAAATACTTACCAAGATTTCATTTAACCCTTTCCAGACTGGAGGGTTGTTGCTGATATCACTTGATTCTTTTCCTTCCAACAGTGAAAATATTTAACCAAATTACATGAAACTTAATACAAGTTCTCCAAATGGTGACTAGTTTTGGCTTAAGGAATTCATATTATTTAGTTTAGTATCTCACTTATGTTTTTAGGTCATGAAATGATGAAATGAACACTCAACACATGTAGGATTCTCACCAGTCACACTAAAGTTAAAAGTTTGTGGTGATAAGTTTAGCTTTTCATGTAATGCAGTTTTGGAAACAAGTCTCATACTATGTAATATGGATAATGATAGTTTATAGCTTGATTAATTTGCTTCTCTAGTAAATTATGAGGTTAACCACAGTTGAGTATTATTCATATTGACAAATGGATACTAAAGTACCAATGAGACTAAGAATCCTATAACAGGATCTTTATTTTTTCAACATTTTGACTACAAATCTGCTTCAGCAGAGTGTGACACCACAGCTTTCCTTTGTTGCTTATCTATCCCTTTGCAAGTCCTTATCAATCAAAGTTTTAATGTAAAAAAGTTGTATACAAAATAGATACAAATGAGTTGCTGCACCAAAAGCTATATTTTCTTATTTCCTTTTTTTCTTCTTAATGTTATTAAATTTAGTGTGTATTTATTTGTAATACTTTCAGTTATAAGATCTTTTTATTATTTTTTTCATATTTTTATGCATATGATGCTAGATTTAATTAATTACGAAACTAGGTGGATTTTAGACTTAATTTTAATGGGATTTTTACAATGATATTACATTAATGTTGTGTTTCATAATTTATTATTCTAAGTAGAATTAACTTTTTGCAATATTTTCCACACCTTTTAAATTTTCCCTTGAAGGAACAACTCAAAGGTCTTCATTTGGTTGCCAAGTACTGGCCTAAGCGAAGGTTCTCCTCCAAGTCTAGTGCTGGCCAAGCAAAGGAAGGAGAAAGTGAAGAAGAAGAAGGAGAAAAAGATCTTGATGAGTATGAAGAAAATAACTATCTCTCATACTACCCAGAGTCTTTAGCTACTCATGATTTTAGAAACACTTTTGGTTATGGACCACCATCAATGGTGACTGGCCCTTCTGGTGTTAACTATTATCAGCATAGTCAAGACTTGTCAATCAATCAGTACCATTATCCACCTCCAGCAGGACCACCATCCCTTCACACTCCAAAATATTTTCCACCTCCACTTGCTGCTTCAGGTCTTCCATTTAGTGAAGGGCAACAGCTTCCACAGTTCTCCTTTCCTCCTCCTCCTCCTAATGCAGCTTCCCTCAGTGCTGGGCTAAGTAGGGCACCTGTATTTGGCTGTCTGGGACATGAACCTGCTGCACCACTCCCTCCTGGACCTATGGTGCCACCTCCTCCTGGTCCACCACCTATGTTTAATGTTGCTCAGCCTTTAAGGGATGCACCACATGCTTTCCAGATACCATTACCATCAACTGTGACAGCAGTGGCTCAATCCATTACACTGTCAGGAGTCACTTTTACGCCTTCAGTTCTTTCTTCTACTTCAGAACTGTTCTCCTCTTCAACACCTTCACAACTTCAGATGTTGCTAAACAAGCCTCCTGTACTCTCCACTCAGATACCAGGTTCTCTAAGTAACAGTTTCAGATTTGATGAAAGAGAGCAGGCTGCATCTGCTTTGTACAAACAGTCAAAAGTAATCAGCTCACCAATTTCTCCTGATAAAGATAAAAGCTTAGAAGGTGGCAGAGAAAGTGTTGGCTCAGATGAAGGAGATCACAGTTTTGGTGGAGACTTTAAACCTTTGATTCCTCTCCCTGATGAAGTTCCTGTTCAGACTGGAGAAGAGGATGAAAAGGTTTGTTTTAATTTTTATAATGGTTTTCAGTTTATATGTAAATAATCCAGAATATTTTTATGTTTTAAACAATTATTTCAGAAGTACCACCAGTAGTAATTATTCTCCTCAAATGAAAAAAGCTGTAAAAAGTAAATAACTTCAGGTTTTTGTTTTACATACTTTTATACATTCCATTTATTTAATTTTTCAAAAAAGTCGATAGTTTAAAATGGTTTTAAAGATAAAAGATCTCAGCTATGTTTTGTTATGGCACTTTGACACACACACATTTTTTTTTGTATATTTAACAATTTTAGGTACTATTTGAGAACAGAGCAAAACTCTTTCGATTTGTTGACAAAGAATGGAAAGAGAGAGGAGTTGGAACAGTTAAGCTTTTACTTAATGAGATTTCAGGGAAAGTTCGTTTACTGATGAGAAGAGACCAGGTATGTTGTATTCTTTCAACTATGGTAGTTTTTTTTATACACCATTTATATTGAAAGTGAAAAATTAATTTTTTTTATTTAATAATACATTAGCTTGTTTTTTTCTGGAAAATGGAGTTTAATGTATTCAAGTTTAAACTTCAAAGAAATATTCAGTTTTAGATGGCAAGCTTCTTGTGTTTACTTATGGTATTTTAGTTCTCTGCATCTTTTAGTTTGTCAGTTGCAAGATAAAATGCTTAGTGCTAAAAATTAAATAAAGGAAATATTTTTAATTAATAATATAATAAAACTATGAATCTTTTATTAAAGATTAATATACAATATTGGGAGTGATCTTAGAAACAGTGAATAAAAAACTTAGGTTAATTCTTTCATTACCATTTGTGGCCAATACACTGTAGAATATGAAAGAGTAGGGAAAAGTAAATATAGAAAAAATGAAGAGTGTAATTATATACCTTTAGATGAATGTAAAAAAGTGTGTTTGTGTATCATGTAAATATGTACATCTTTATGGTAAATTAAAAAAATTATTTACTATAATCTGCGGAATCTTATTTTTTATGTGAACTTAATTCTAATTTAATAACATTTTCTTATTCATCTAAATTAAAATTGTTCTGTGGATTGTTTATAAACAACTGAAATGATTTGAGAATTAGAACCTAGATTATTCTTGTTTTAGCAAATTATTATTTGCATCTGTCAAAAATCTAATTTTTAATTTAATTTATTTTTATCTCGTAGATTTTGAAAATTTGTGCCAACCATTATATTTTCCCTGAAATGGATCTGAAACTAATGAAAGGGAGTGATCGTGCATGGGTTTGGTGTGCGCAAGATTTTGCCGATGAAGAAATAAAGGCAGAACAGTTCTGTATACGGTTCAAGAGTGTAGAAATAGCTGAAGATTTTAAGAATGCTTTTGAGAAATCAGTTGAAATAGTTAAGAATCATACACAAAAAAATCAAGAACCTGCAACAGAAATAGCTAAGGAGCCAAAAAGTGTAAACTTTGTAGAAGAGAAAAAAATATTAAAAGATATAAAATGTGTACCTGAAAATGAATTGTCTTCTGTTGGGTTTGGAGACAAGTTCAAACTTCAGCCTGGAAATTGGATCTGTGATGTATGTTTGGTGAATAATCCAGCAGAAAAAAACAAATGTCAAGCTTGTGATTCTCCCAAACCTGGAGCACAGTTGTCAAGTTCTGAAGAAAAATCTTCTTCACTGTCTAAATTTACTTTTGGCATTACTCCTCAATCATCAGGATCTGGGTTTGGAGCCTTGTTTGCAGAGAAACAGGGTAACAAACCTGAAGAAGCCTCCTTCCATTTTGGAATACCTGGAAGTGGTTTTTCCTCAAGTTCTAGAACCAATGTAAGTGGAGAAATAGTAAAAGGAGCTTTAGGATTTCCTTTAGTAGAAAATGTAACACAAGATCAGGAAATTCCAAAGGCTTCTGCAGATACATCATCATCTTCCCAGTTTGGCTCTGCTTCTTTCATGTTAAATCAGATGGCTTCAAGGCAAAAAGAAGATAACAAGCAGAGGAGTAATGTGTTTGGTGGTTTTTCTTTCACCAATACACCTGTCATTCAGGATAGTAATCAGATTCAAGATCACCAAATCAAACAAATTGGAGTTAAAAGCAAGGAAATACCTCAGAAGACAGAGGCACAAACTAAAAGCAGCCCCTTTGCTCAGTTTTCTTTTAAACTGGGCTCTGTTAATCAACCAAGTTTTGATTTTTTGGGGGAAAAGAAAGAAAGAAATGTAACTATAAAAGAAACAGAAGTAGAAGCAGATGATAACCACTTATTTGGTTCTGACAAGGAAGTCAGCACATTAACTTTTTCTGCTTTATCCACCACTAAATCTCCAGAAGAAATTTTTGGTCAAGACAGTAATTTTAAAGGCTTTCCTGGAAGCGGAGTGCCTGTCTTTGGTTCCCCATCTACTAAGGAGAAATCTAATACTAGTGGAAGTGAAGTCCTGGAAGAATACGAGCCAAATGTAGAATTCAAGCCAGTTATTCCCTTACCTGAATTAGTGGAACTTCAAACTGGTGAAGAACAGGAAGAAAAGTTGTTCTGTGAGCGTGCAAAACTCTTCCGGTATGCACCTGATGTGAAACAGTGGAAGGAAAGAGGGATTGGTGAATTAAAAATCCTTCGTCATCAGCACACAGGTAAATGCCGAATCTTAATGCGTCGAGAACAGGTACTCAAATTGTGTGCCAACCATTACATTGTTCCAGGAATGACTCTGTCACCATTGTCATCTAGCGATCGTGCATGGGTTTGGTCAGCCAAAGATTATTCTGAAGGTGAGCTGAAACAAGAACAACTAGCTGTTAAATTCAAAGCATTTGACATTGCCAATGAATTTCGTAGAGTTTTTGAAAAGTGCCAAACAGAAGCTCAGAAGTCAGAACAGTGTCCAGCAGGAATAGCTAACTCATCCATGACATCTTTCATAAAAGCATCTGACTCTAGTAAGGTTTTAGAACATACAACTTCCAGTCAATCCACTCAGCTCTCTTTAACAGAAATGTTTAAACCAAAACCAGGATCTTGGGAGTGTAATGTTTGTTATGTTCGTAACAATGGAGATGATACATCCTGTCAGGCTTGTGCAACATTTCGTCCTGGGTTTGATGGTACATTAAAAGTTGCGAGTGATATTCCTAAAAACAGTGCACCTGGTTTCAAGTTCAGCTTTTCAGTTGATATTGGAAAACAACATAGTGTAGTGTCAGAAAGTCAAAAACTAGACAAATTTCAGTTCAAAGTTGTTCCTCAAGATGAAGGTACTTCAGACTTCAAGAAACCACAGAATTCTATATTTGGAACTATTGCAAACTCTTCTTCTTCTGGCTCATTTGGTAGCTTTGTTTTTGGTGGACAAACATCATCACCCAAGTTTTCTTTGACTTCTGACCAGAAATCAGATTCCAGATTTGTCTTTGGTTCGACTCCTTCAAAATCCAGTTACATGTTTGGCTCCTCCTCTGCAGGTATGGCTTTTGGAAGTACTAAACCACTTTTTGTTCTAGGCAGTGATGATGATGCAACTTCAAGGCTATCAACCCCAGTTTCAGAAACAGATGTAGAAGATTCACATGGACATCCAACTAGTGAACTCAAAATGTCACTTACTAAAGATAATACCCAAGAAATGGCTGTAACGTCTGACCTTACAGCAATTACAAGTGTCAGCTCTTTGTCTTCAACTCCTGCTGCACCCATTTTCACATTTGGAACCCCTACCAGTGGGCAAGATGATACAGTACAGTTCAGGTTTGGAAGCCCTCAAAAGCATGAGTTTACTTTCAGTGGAATCAGACCAAGAAGTCCTTCTAAAACCCCAAATTCTCCTGGAACTCCAACAGATATAGCAAGTAGAGGAGCTGAAGAAGAGGAAGAAGTAGAACCATCAGAAGCAGACAATGTTTATTTCCACCCTGTCATTCCTTTGCCGCCAAAAGTAAGTTTGTACTTGTTTTAGTCTTTACAAATAACTATCTGCTGTATATACAGTTTACACTAAGGAAACATATTTGAAGTTATTTTAATTTATTACTTCAAAATTCAAGTTAACAAGAAGTAATAAAAAAAAGACTGCCTTATGCTGAGTTCTCTAAAGTTGGATGCTTATATGGTATTTGCATTCTTCATTGACCTTAATTGAAATTTTAAAACAGTTTGAATAGACATTTGTCAAATTCACTTAAAGCATGTTGCAATATCCTTGACTTAATTTGTGCTTTATTTGTGTTTGTTCCTTTGTGGCACAATCATTAGAGACTTGTGAGTAACAAGGACATGTAAATTTATAGATAATCTTGTTAGCACTTTAGTAACAGTACTCTGTATCTGAAAAGATAGTGTAAACAGTATTCTAGTTTAAAATTGCATCTTAACCGTGTGTAATTGTAAAGTGGTTTTCTCGGTTGTTTATGGGTAAATCTTGTATACCAGTTATAGAAAATACAACAGTTCAGTTTAGAAGAGATTTGCTTGTCTACATTACTTAAGTTTAACTGTTGCCCCAACACCCAGGCTATGACCAGAAATCAATACTGATGAATGATGTCATACTGAACCCACACTTTTACTTCTAATTTTGTGATTGTCAAAATTGGAACTTATATTGACATAAAGTACATCCTGCATCATGTATTGGAAACTACAAAGAATATGGTCAATATGATGTCGGTAAAATGGAATTGCTAAACCCTGTTTGCTGCTAGGTGACAATACAAAGAAATTCATGAGTGTATATGTTCAATGTTGAATTAACGCTAACCTCTTTCAAACGACTGCACAAGAAGTTCAAGTGTAACATTAAAACAAATGAAAGGCTTGGGCAGATAAATCTTCATTTATGTTAAGAGTAAAGGTCATAATGAAAAAGTAAAATAATACTAGCCAAAATTATAAGAGACATTGTTTTTTTTACTTGTCTATAGATAAGGATTTAGTAATGCTAGCCAAAATCATAAGTTAATTTGTCCTACCTACATAGAGCTAAAAATAAAATGGGGGAAAAAAGGTGGGAAAGAAACTGCTGTTATACAGTCAGTGTTTATTATATGTCAATTCAAGAATATAAATTACACAAAACCAGAGACAGCTGGAATTTATTTATTCAAAGATATGAAGAGAACAGACTGGCGTGACTGTATAAATGAGTATTTATGGGCAAGATTTCTCAGGTTGTGAACCTCTTGTTAATGTTTCTTTTTTTGAAAAAAAATACAATTGGCATTTTACACATTTTTTATAGATGTAATAAACATTATGTTTTCTTATCATAATGGTGGTAATTATATGTGTTTGTTGAAATATAATTATTTTCTGGTATTGTAAGCTTAAACTATCAGCATTTGACTGAAATACTTTCTTTTAATGATTTGCTGTTTTTATAGGCATTTAATAATGCTTAGTTATTTGTGATTATCAGATTGTTATTTTAGACATGATTTTTTGTGATAGTATCAAATGCTTCTGATTCTAAACAAGCTAATCAATGATAAAAATTCTATTTCTGAACAAATGCATCAAAGCAGTGTGCTGTATGCATTATGATGTCCACTGTTTCACAATTCAATTTATCATCACATTGTAACACAACGTATGTGTGATGATATGTAAGATGAGAAAAATGGCACATACTTCCCGTATAAGACAAGTAATCTAAAAAATCTGGTGGCAGTCTGTGGTTCATGTACTTATATCTAGTTTTTAATAAGTTAAATTATTTTGTACATGTTATTGAAGTAATAGATGAAAACAGCAAACTTTTTTGTGTGATAAATGCCATGTCAAATTTACAATGTTATTTTAAATTGAATTGCCTATAAAAGCAAGTTAATGGTAGGATTTATATTTTACTGTGAAATTAATACTGTCTTGTTTACTATAACGATAATCTAAAAACTGAAATAATTACTCAAAATTTTTGAGGATGGTAAATTATCATCTGCATACCTACTGCAGCAGAATTGTTTAATAGAAACCAGAAGTTATTCTACTTTTTATATTGAATGTAGAATAGAAAGAAAGATTAGCTAAAGAAATAGTAATAGTTTTGAGCCCATAGCTGTTCCACTCATTTGATCATGAAGAATGTCATTTAACAAAAAATGGGGTTTCTTGAGTTTTAAGACATTCTTCAGAAACCATTATGCACTGAACCAGTGTTCTGTTCTATGGTATTTTCAAGAGAGATTCTAGTATACAGAAATTATACTTGGAAATAGGCACCCTAAGTTTCAGTAATCGAACAGTAAATCTTGTATTCCTCTAAAAAAATTTAAAAGTATTCTCTCAGATGTTGAAAAATAAGTATCAGTGTAATTTATTTTCTGTACTTATAGGGAAATTTTTGATATTCATTTCAGAAGTTTGCTTGCATCACCCTGAATAATCTCAGCTTTTTTTTAATAATTTTATTTATCCATTATCAAAATTTCAGGCCTATGAGATTTTATTCAGTAATTTCCCATTTTTACTGAAATCTTTTTAAAACTTCAGTTTCTTTGCTAGAATTTAATGGCTTATGCAGTAATTATAAAACAGCCAAAGGTACCATATTGCACTTAGTTCAGCTAATTACCTCCAGGAGAGAATAGGGTAGATAATGGTTTTATTTAGTGTAAACAAATGTACTTGTACTAGTGTGATTGTATTGGTACAATGTTATCAGTTGCAATATATGATATAGCAGCATAAAACTAGAAAACCAATAGATTCAACTTTCGTTTATTCATTGTATATAGATATTGGTTAATTTACTCAGTGGACAAAAATGTAAGGTCATATTTGACTTTCAAAGCTGTTGTCTGCCATTTGATTTTAATTGGAAAAGGTGCTCTGGTAGGAAAGAACTTGTGGCTTATAAGTGTACATAATAATATATGTATTCATAAAGGCTATGCCACACTCAAAGGATAAACTGTGAAGAAGGTGCTTTGATGACTTAAATTGTATGATGATGTGAAGATTAACATTCTGTTGAGTAGTATAGTCAAATTCAATTTAAAGTTTATTTAAAGTTTCCATAATTTTCATAATCAACCACCAATTAACTGAAAGAAACCAGTCCCTCATACACAAGACCTGTGTCACGAGGGTTATTCATGAATCTGCTGGAACATTCATCTTAATACTAATGTTCTATGTACACTGATTGTTGTTTGATTTGCATATTTTTTTACACATGATAATACAGATGCTGTGCAAATATATCTTATTTGAAAACTACCTTTAGTTGCTTCAGACGTATTTAAAATGCCACCTCCTTAAAAATGAAACTTTGTACTTATAAAAGAGAGGGAAATGATTGGTCTGTAATGTAGTCTATATGAACATTATCAACTTCCTTAAACTGAAAAATAATATGAATGACATACCTTTTGTACTGTACACTCATATTCTGTTAGATTTCACTCAAAATTGCACAGATTTTTATGTTTTGTTTTGTGGACTGAGTGCACTTTTCTAGTTATATATTATTCATTACTTTTTGAAAATACAGATTATTGCAGTAGTTGCTGATAGAGCTATCATAATTTTAAATATCTTTAAATTTTAATTTTTGTAAATAAATAACTGGTCTGTGAGTCGATTTATTTTGCTTCATTTATAACTGAAATAATTGAAAATTATAGTGCCAGGGAGTGCTATAAATAGAATGACTGATACTACTTTAGTTAGTAAAGTTTATCAAAATGACTTTTTTTTCTGCACCAAGAAACTAATTCAGTTTTATAAATGGGATACATTTATTAATTTCTTTCAAAAAGGAAAAGACTTCAGCTGATTTATTTTGTGAACATTTTCTTTGACTTGAAAGACCATTAACCATCTTTGAACTTGTTATTGCTTAGAATGATATAATTGGGCTCTAGAAATATTAAAAAACATGGTAAAACATTAAAGATATAAAATCATTCCAAAAAAATTTAAATTGAAACTTTCTTTGCTCCTTCAAAATTCTAAGTTAGAAACTTGTAGATTAAGATTTATTTTTTCATTATATTATGCCCTTTTAGTTAGGTAATTTGTTAACTTTTGCAACTTCCACTTATGATGTGTTAATGTATTGAGGGGACTTACAACTAATCAGATCTGTATTTTTGTAACAGTTCTGTAACTCTAATGTGTACCAATATGAGCTAGAATTTTCTTATTGTTCTGTAGTATGAGTTAGTCATTATTGGGCAAATATTATGAACTTAGTTTTTCATGTAGAACTCTTAATCTTTACTGCCATACCATGAGATATTACCTTGATGAGGGCCAAGTGCATGTGGTTTATAGAATCAAGATTTTCTTGATCTGAATGCAGTAGTTAATGTTGCTTTTAATTTTTCTGTGAAATAGCTTTGTGTTTTAACATGTGTCTGAGGTACAGTAGCAGGAAGTTTCATAATAGAGAGGACCAACAAAAAGGCTGTGTTTGGCTTAGGCAGTCAGTCACCTCTAAACAGAAAGTATCTTTTACACTTAAGGAGATTATCACCAGAAATAACTAAAATTTATTAAAAATCAGTCACCACAATTGAGAATTTTTCATCAGTATTATTTTATTACCTGAAAAATCCAAAATTAAAACAAACTATCTGTTATTTAACAGATAAGCATTACAAGTTTTGTATGTTTTAAGCCTGTAATCAATAACATATTTATACATAAATTTGCAATTTGAACAAATTGGCAAAAATGTTCACCCAAAGAAGCAAATATTATCCTGGAGCTGAGGGTTAATAAGATCTAATGGATATTTTTGACATGTTTATGTTACATCAAAAATATGTTTACTTATCAGATGCTTGAATGAGATGAAATGTTATTTAATTTTTTTTTTTTTGGTATAAAACATAATCAGTTTTGTAAATAAGATGTATTTTTACTTATCTATTTAAATACATTCAAAAACTAGGTTTTTTTTATCCATAACATTGAAACCTATAAACTACTTTATGGGATCAAGAATTTGCATAATTGTTTGCATACTACTTACAAAACAAGATTAATTTATGCATTGAATACTACTATAAGCTATATTCTGTACTTTTATGTGTAAGAAAATGTTAAGTGTAAAATTACATTGATTAGAAAAGCATAATCATATAACATTAAAATTCAACAAGCAAACAAGTACAATAGCTGTAATAAAGGCAATATAAAGCATAGTAGAATAAAATATGCATGTAATGTCAGTAGTTTGTGAAAGTTTTATAGTCTGAAAATTAAGAAAAAGGAAACAAACAACACCCTACCCAATTTGCACACAAAAAAGATCAAGCTGGTGTTTTGGAAATCACAAAATGGTTTGGCGTGAAAAGTGATTATTTATTACTTTAAAAGGGTTTTTTGTTGTTGTTGTGTGAAAGCTGTGATATTTCAAGTAAAATATTAAAGTTTACCTTTATCAAAAGCTTTTTTTTTTCAGTACTTAAAGAACATAAGACATGAGAAGAAGAAAAAAACTTTAAAAGGAGATTTTAAGCATAACTGTTATACTAACCAGTTAAAACCAAAATATACCATAAAATCAGTCAGTTTGAACTTGTTAGGCCTAAAACATACCAAACAAGCATGAATGTGTTTGTAAATTTTTACATTATTAAAGTGTAAATATTAATGAGAATCCTAAAGAAAATTTAAAAATTTATATATTTAGTCATTTTTGCCATTTTATCAGGAGGATGATAGAATAGGTATTTTCTCAAATAACTGGGGTTTCTAAAATAAGTTAAGGCAACTGAAAGCGTGTGGTTAGGTTTTCAAAATTAAGTTATAAATAGATTGAATTGTAAGCTGTTGTAGAATCATTGATATTTTAGGTTAACCTTGTTTCATATACATTGATTTTATGGGTTAATTTCTCAGGTTGAGGTTAAAACTGGAGAGGAAGGAGAAGAGGTTTTGTACTCTCAACGTGCCAAATTATATATGTTTGTTCAAGGAGAATGGAAAGAACGAGGCATTGGAGATGTGAAACTTTTGCTCAACTCTTCCACTAATCAGATTCGTCTTTTGATGCGTAGAGATCAGGTAATTTTTACTAGAAAAACCAGAAATTCAGAAATTAATAATGAAAATATATTTAATAAAAACATGATAATTAGTAAATGATACAGCTGGGAAATTACTGGAATTTGCTAATCAGTTATGTTAAACTAATCAATTACTCTTATGAAACTAATCTTCCTATTTTCAGCTTTTTGGGGGATTTTTTTAAAAACATTTTCTAACTACCCTTCATTTAATATGATAGACTTCTTCAGGTACAACAATTTAGTTAATTTTTTAAATTCTAGGCTGTTGTACAGGAAAATGTATCATATATGCAACTCAGTAAACAATTGTAGCAAGATGAAAGTATGATTAATACAGTTCCAGTGGTTTCTCTGTACAACTTTTTACAAGAATGCTAAAACTAAATAAACTAATTCTTTGTTAAAAATAATTGTCCTTTGTAAAGATTCTTGTCAGAGTGTGTGATAAATATGTAATTCAGTGAAACTAATTGATACTATTAGTAAAAAAAAAAGACTATAACATTTGCTATTTGACAAGGAAACTTGTGATACTTCATTACCTTTTTGCAGAGATTAAAATTGTTCATAAGGTGGAAGGTGGAGTATTAAAGAGTATTAAAATCATGGTAATATGAAAAATTCTTTAATTATGCTTTAAATACAGCCATTTCACACTTTTTTTCCTTATTCCATCATCAGTTAGAATAATTCAAAATAATTAAAAACTTTATAAGTATAAAAAACATAATATTTTAAGCAAGAAGTTGTTGATATAGACAGAAGTTTAGAAAGAACACATATATTGATTGATATGTTTGATTTACAGTAAATTAATAAAGAAACCATAGAAACATGCATGCATTATGAGAAATCATTAACTCAAACTTCTTAAAGGTTAGAATACTGGGCAATGTTTATGTGGGATGTAATGAGAACCAGACTTTATTCTTCCCTTTTCAGTGCTTCCTATGTAGCTAGAACTAGTGTAATTGATCTTATGTTAATTTCTTGAAGTTACATCAGGTAAATTTGGAATTATAAAATTTATAGTAAACATTAATTGTTCCAGTGGTTTGACCCTATGCACATAAGTTAAATAGGAGTCCTGTTCATGTAAATATGTCAACGGCATCACATAATGTTAGATTGTTATTAATCTATGTTTCTTAATGTCTGACAAAAACAGCTAAATGGGCAAGTTATTCACTAATGAACTTTTATTTTGAGCAAATAAAGAACAATAAAATTTAACTTGCTGTAAGTTTTTTTTATAAAAGAATCTTACAGTAAGTAACAGTGTCATATTAAGATTGTTATTAGTTTAAGTCTAGTAATTTCTGGCAAGCACAGTTAGATGAACAATTTATTCAGCATTCACCATTTTTTTGAATGAATAAAGAATAATGAATATTAACTTACTGTAACTTTTTTTTTACTAAATCAATCTTACCCCAAGTAACATAGGTTATGTTTGTAGTTTGTATTGGGTAAAAAATAGGGTAATTTAAAATTATAATTAGCTGTTAATATTTTAATGAATTTATCTGCAAATTATTGTCCAAGCATATCCTAGTATTGTTGGAATAATTTGTTATACCTGTAAGAAACAAAGTAATTATGCATAACATAATTTGAAATGATGGGTATTACACAAATACATGAGACTATTGATCTCATCTTGATGTGGAAAATTATAAATTCTGAAAAACTAATACTGAAAACTATTTTGCAGATACTAACTTTTGTTTTCTTGATAAATCTAAGGGACAAAAATTGATGTTCCCTTTACAACACTAACACATCAAATATATGCATCTCACATTCAGTAAAAATTATCCTCAGCTTTTAAATTTAAATGTTTGTGTTATTTTTGGTTAGAGAACTTTTTTAATGTCATGATGAGCACAGCTCAGTGACTGTTATTTTCTTGTAAGTGTAGAAAATGATTGCAGCAGTACTGAAATGCGAAATATTTTTAAGTATTCAGTAGACTGTTGGTTGATTATTTAGTCAACCGATTTGTTAGTTCAGCACTGTAAGTATTATGTTTGAATAAATTACTAGGGTTATGGGAGAAGTTAGCAAATAAGTAGCTGTTTAGTGTTATTGTGAAGTTCTTTGCAGTAGTTAGCTACTTGACTACTGGTTTTGTGGATTTTGTGTCTTGATTTTGCTAAGTATTTAATAGCTATTTACTGAGTTTGTGGTTTGTATATTCTTTTTTTAAAGGTTTTAAAGGTGTGCCTCAACCACAATGTTACATCTGATATCAAGTTCAATAAGAAAGATGATCGGTCATGGACATGGGGAGCAACAGACTTCTCAGAAGGTGAACCTAATCCAGCACGCTTTGCCATACGTTTTAAATCAGAAGCAGTTTCTCAGCAATTTAAGGCAGCTGTAGATGATGCTCAGAAACAACTGTCCAATGGCCAGGTGAAGAGCAAACAACATTCTACACCTCCAGACACACTCACAGAGAAACCCGTCTCTACACCCTCCCCATTGTCTACATTCTCTTTCCGACTTGATAAACAAACTACACCATCTACTAAAGGATTTTCTTTGGCGGATAAGTTTGGTATCCCTCCATCTAGCACTTCAAGAAACCTGTTTGGAAATGTTTTGCCAAAAGCACCAGACAGGGATGACCAAAGTGGTATGTATCATCAGTCGACTCTATTACTCTTATGTTTTGTTATTAAATGTTATTGGTTTGCATATACAGTTCCTTCCAATGATAAACAGATACTTTCTTTTTATAAGTAATACACAGTGATGTTTTACTTATAGAAAATTTTTGTGAAAGTAAAGTGTTTATAAATAAACATAATAAATATTAGGTCATCATTAAATTAATGTCATTTTTTTTTTTTAGATGAAAAAACCTAAATAACTTGCATATCAGAACAAAACATTTATTAAATGAAATAGTCTCCATTCTTGTTGATGATGCTTTTCCA